CGCACACACACAAGCGCGCACACACACACACACACACACACACACACAAGCGCGCGCACACACACATACACACACACACACAACCGCACGCACACACACACACAAGCGCGCACACACACACACAAGCGCGCACACACACACACAACCAACGCATCGCTCAAATGTAAGTCTTACAGGCGATGGTATGGACGGCGGGTCAGCTGCATACAGCAAGTACCAAACAAGGAGCATGTACGAACAGCACAGCATGGTGCAGAACAATATCGGCAAATGCATGGAAAGGCTTTCAACCTCTGTTGTTATGCCATTGTGTAGGACAAGTCGCGTATTTTCTGAAGTGACTTGTTTTGGGTGAATTAGGAGTGTTTAAATTGACTTGTTTTGGGTGAATTAGGAGTGTTTAAATTGCGGCTAGTATACTACGGTAATGCAATTTCAGACCAGACCAACATTGGCAAATGTATGCATGAGATCATCAAGAGTCCATAACCCCAAGAGTGTGTAACTGGGGTCTGGCTGCTGTAGGCCCACTGTGCGGCGGAATTCCAACATTACGTCATGCCGCTGAGGCACAGAGGACAAAACTCCACATTCCGCGGTGCTTGGAGCCAGGGAGTAGTACAAGCCCAACGAAAGTGTACGTCATTTTTGACGTAAGGCCACCCTTTGTTAATTCATTGTTTAACGTCCTTTTTTTCGCGAAAAGGTACGCGGGAGGGCAGAAAAAAACAAAAGCCCATTCCAAAAACTGGAAACCCCAATCAAACATTTTGACCAGTAAAGCATGTGATCACTCTTTGATGGTACATTGGAGCACATGCCTGATGAATCCAACAAAACAGGTACATAGCATGGAGTTAGCATGTCATCAATTCATTACATCTGGATTTTTACTAGGGCACACACCGTACGGTATTTAAAAGCCAACAAAAAAAGAAAAAGAACACAAGACAAAGGCATGCCCGGGAGGCAAGATTATAAGTTTAAGGTCATGATCGGCACACTGTGAAACTACACAATCATGTATTTACCACTTCGCATATTATTGGTACTACTACTTTCTTGTTTTTTTTTCCCGGTCGGAGGCAAAACGGTACGCGGGCGCGGACGTTAAACAACGAAAAAAGAAAGGGTGGCCTAAAGGGTGGCCTAATGTTGGATTTCGAATTTTCCGCCGCACGGATCCCCATGTACAGAGTTGCACACTCTTGGGGCTATGGACTCTTGGTGAGAGCCAACGCATAGTGCAGACCAACATTGGCAAATGTATGCATGAGATTGATGAGAGCCAACGCATAGTGCAGACCAACATTGGCAAAGGACGTACTTGGCGGTAACTCCAGAGCAGCTGAAGTTGTTGTTGCCAGTGAGTTGGAACCGGACGAGACACCACCAGCTGCTGTTGCTGCTGCTTCTGATGATGTAACTGCTAAAGAAGGCATCATTGCACCCGTGGTATTGCTGGGAGCTGCACTAGAAGCAGCAGAGATTGCAGCAAGTGCACCATCAAGCATGTGCTCGGTGAGCAGTGCCGAGTGAGTGGCACGTCGGGGTGGCGGCGCCGGACGATTGCGCACGCTGCTCTCCGTGCGTGCACGTGCCTGCTGTGTGCCCGCAGCAGCCGCCGCGGTGCTACGACGCGTGGGCGGTGGGGGCAGCGGTGGCAGAGCCGATCTCACAGAGCTGCTCGGCGGGTACGGTGGCCTGGCAGGCCGCTGGTCCGCCACCGTCTGGGCAGTGGTGCTAGTACCCTGGGTACGAGCAGGTCGCTCCGGTACCGCGCCGCCCCCCGCCGAAGCCCTGGCCGTCGCGGGGTTTCCCCCACGCGGCAGCGGCGGCACTGGCTTGGACGGCCGCGAGGGTCGCGCCGGCCGCGGCATGGGCATGGGTCTGGTGCGAACACTGGACTGAGATGACACAGCAGCAGGCATAGTGGCTAATGCGGCAACGGTTTGACTTGAGCTACTACTCGTGGCCGAGCTAGCTGCTGATGCTGGCATGGTGAGGGAAGCAGCACCAGGAAAGAATGGAGCGATGACACTGATGCTGCCGTGGCGTGGCGGAAGCACTGGCGGGCCTGCTGCTGCTGCCGCCACTACCTGGCTGCTACTGGGCGGTGTGGCAGGTGATTGTGAATCACTGCTGCACGTGGACACACGCGGGGACACAGAGTCCCGAGGCGGAAGCGGTGGTGCTGACTCACCCGAGGCAGGATTCGAAGCAGCAGCAGCGGCAGTAGCAGTGGTGCCAGTAGCAGTGCTAGTATCATGCTCAGAGCCGTGCGACGATGGCGGAGGTGGAGCAGGGCGTGAGCCAGCAGCAGGCAACGCACTCGCCGCCATCGTCTTGCCAGCAGCGTGCGTGTCTGCACTGGGCAGCTGCGTGAACACGTTCTGTGGCAGTGCGGTGGCGGCGGAGGACGAGGTTGAAGAACTTGATGTACTGCGTACTGGCACGCCAGAGGAGCCACCAGAGGAGCCACCCAGCACAGAGGAGCCACCCAGCACAGAGGAGCCACCCAGCACAAACAGCGACGAACTGGCCAAAGACGACTGTGAACTAGTGCCACTGGCCACTGACATGAACACATCATAACTAGATCTAGAACTGCCAGAGCTAGCATTGGCGCTGGGTTCGCGAGGCGGCAGTGGTGGAGCGGAGCTCGCTGACGACAGCGGATCCAGAGAACTGCCAGCCGACGAGGAGGACACGGGCGTGGGAGAGAGCGGAAGCATTGCTGGACCGTTGCCGCCAGCGACACGGGCTCGCGACGCGGCAAATGAGTCAAACTCTCCTTCGCTGCTGTCTCCCGGCGAGGACGACCTGCTAGTGTGTCGCGGTGCCTGCAAGCTACTGCTACCGCCAGTGGTGCCGGTGGTGGTGGTTGTATTGGTCACAGTGGCGGACGACGATGAACTAGCATTATCACTAGAACTGGCCACCAGTGCAAGACGTGATGACTGTACACTTGTATTGCCAGTGTTGGTAAACACAGTGTTGGTAGAGCTGTCAGTGTTGGTAGAGCTGCCAGTGTTGGTAAACACAGTGTTGGTAGAGCTGTCAGTGTTGGTACGCGCCGTCACCGTAGAGATCTCCAAGTCCGGAGGACACGTGGCGGAATTGCGACTTCGAGACAGGTCATCGTAGAATGAAGACGCGTCCATCAGCGTGGAGGAGTCCAGCACGGATGTGACACCGGAACTGGCAGTCGCTGCCTCGCCAACACCAGCAACACCGTCTGTGGTATCAGCACCGTCGCTGCCACGCAGATTACACGTTGTCATCGTCAACTGGCCGCTGCTCTGGTCACTGCTGGTGTTCCTACTGGCAACACGACTATCATTGCCGCTGTCATGCCGTTGTTGCTGCTGCTGCTGCTGTTGTTGTTGCTGCTGCTGCGTTGGCTGCTCCTGTTGTTGCTGCTGGTGGGAATGGCTGGCACCTGCTGCTCCTTGCTCCTCTGCTGCAGCACTTTGCAGGCAGCGCTGTCCGTTGTGCGACAGAGGAGCAAACGGTCGTTGTTGTTGTTCTGCTGCATCGCCCGCCGAAGCAGAACTGCTCGCAGCGGCAGACTGGTTACGAGCTGGCGAGGAGAAGAACACTGCACCCGACGTGGTCGCCGTGGTCGCAGTGCTCTCGTTGCCAACTGACCATATGTCCCGTGCGACTGCAGCCGGAGAGGACGACGTCACTGGTGAGGAAGTCGTTAAGTGAGTACTGTTTGCAGGACTGATGGGCGACGTCGTTGACGTGTCCGAAGTCCAGAACGCCGGCATGGCCGGCTTCAGTGGCTCGTCGTTGAACGGAACTGGAAACGAAAACGGCTCGTTGGACACGGGCGTACTGCTAGGTATGGTGTTGCCACGCCAACCGTCCGACCCGTTGTTGTTGCTAGGGGGTTGGGACGATGGCGGCAACTCTGACAACGGTTTCAAACTCACGCTGGCGCTGCTGCCGCTGCTTTTGCCGTCGGCGGAAAGTGCCATATCTAGCGATGTGGTGGCCATGCCAGCTGTAGAGTGAGCAAATAGCATGCATGTTTGCATAGCAACATGCACGAACACATGCATATACACATACACGTACGACACACATACACATACACATATACACACACACACACACACACACCCACACACACATACACACACCAACACGTGCACACCAAAAACAAGCACACTTGAGCTTGCTCACTGCCAGGAACTGGTTGTGTGGGTCTCCTGGGAGAGGGGAAAACATCAAAAGAGATCTTGGAACATACGGGCCTTGAACCTCCCCACGGCCAACGCCCCCTGATATCCTGAGACCTTGGGTAAACTTGGAAACAACACCACGTTTGCATGTAAGTTTAAACTCACTACACGCACGCCGCAATTACTGAGGACAAGGTGCAACACACACATGCACACACACACACACACACACACACACGCATGCACACACACGCATGCACACACACGCATGCACACACACGCATGCACACACTTGTAAACAGGGCTTTGGCAGAAGACGGATTCGACCACAATCCTAGTCGAACTTACCTGACGAGGACGGTGGTGCGTGTGTTACACGCTCTGCCCTAGGTGAGCTTGACCGTGATGATCCTGAGGAGAGAGCCGGGGAAGGACAACCGCTGCTCATCGTGTTATGATGGCGCGGTACGGGCGGTGGGCTGTCCACGTCAATGCCCAGATTCCGCACGTGGTGGGCTACTAAGGAACTCTGCTCGCTAGAAGCCGATGGCGTGTCACTCCCCCGGCTTATTCGGCTATCGCTGAAATCTACAGCAGTTCGGCTCGCAAACGAGCTATCGCTGGTCTGGAAATTCGCCGAGGCCAGCGATCCAGCCAAGCAGGCAAGCGAATCCGACGACTGAATGGTGTGCAAGAACGGCGGCGCGTCCAGATCGCTGGCACTGTTGTTCAGTGCACTGCCGACGATGCTCCTTAGCCCACCGGCGGATGCAGTGGGGTGACGAGGCGGCAACGGCGGCGAGAAGTCTCCCGGGCCGGCGCCGTCACACAGATTGCCAGATGTGCTCTGCCGCAGCAGTGCAGCTACAGCCGGGTCTCGCGGCGATCTTGCTCTCACTGCTGCTGCCGACACCGACGTGCAATCCGAATACGTGGTCATTGATGCTGCTGCTGTTGGTGTTGCAGCTTCGGTCGGTGTCGCTGCTGGAAAAGGGTTTCCGCGTGGTATTGTTGAGTAGGCCACAAACGGATCGGCTGGCGCAGCGCCAGGATCTACACGCAGGGCATCTCCAAACGGTGTACTGCTATCGCTCTGTAAAGAGTGTGCAGGCGCTGATCCCGCAAGCGTACTACTACTACTACTGCTGCTGATGTTGTTAACAGTGGGTGGTGGTTGTTGCGTAGGTTGCTGACCAGCGCCACCGACACCGTCACTCGTGCTGCTACTCAACACCAAGCCACCATTGCTACCGGGAACGACTATGCCAGAGCGTTCGTTCAGCACGGCAGTGCGCACGCTATTACACAGTGCGTACGGAGAATCGCTCAGGCCGCCGTCAGCGTCGGATCGACAGGACGGCGCCATCATGTCGAGACCGGTCATGGTGGTCGCGACACTGCCATCCGGCGAAGGGTCGCCGCGAAGAAAACTGGCAGCAGTGAGTGTAGGAGGAGTGGCACCAGCAGCAGCAGCCGATGGTGTCGTCGTAGTCGCAGCAGTAGCAGTAGTAGCCGGGGCAGGGGCAGCAGGAGCACTTGCAGAAGCAGAGTGACTCAAAGACGTTAAATGGGTGGTGCCGGAATTAGCGCTGTTAACAGCCGCCGGCAGCTGTGCATAGATATCACCACTGTTACGCCGAGACAGCAGTGGCGATACGACAGCAGAGTTTTGAGCGGACGAACCGGCCGAAGCGCACGGCAAACAGGCATAGTGCTCTTCCACGGCGTGGTCACTTGCAGAAACGGAACTGGAGACTAAGTGGTTGTTTGAAACCTGCCAGCGAGGTGCTAAGCTACTGCTGCTGGTGGTATCCAATCCTGCGGATGAAGACATGGCCGTGGCTGTAATGCAGAACAGAGATGAGGTACAGGTAGATATATACTATTAGATCAAGAGTACATGAAGACCAGAGTGTGCAGCTCAGATGGGTTGCTGTCACGGCGGAATTCCGTGATTACATCATTTTAGTGATGTAGTGTATACAAGCAGGATTCCAGCAGGTCTCTTTCTGCACAACTGCAGCTCAGTTGTACGCACTACGCCATTTCCCGCCTTAGATCTGCGCCAAATATGATGTAATCACGGAATTCCGCCGTGACAGACACCCATGGCAAAAAAGGCCCCAAGCTGCACACTCTGGTTTTCATGTACTTTTGATTAGATAGATAGATATGAATAGATGGGAGAATGGATGGAGGGAGAGGGAGGGAGAGAGAGACTGTCTTTTTTGCATACAATACTTGGCCAAACAAAGTTCATATTATCACATCAGGTGCTTCCGGCCAACGTGGATAGTTTTTTTGTTATTCGAGTCACTTTCGAATTTTAACTGACTAACATTTGCAGAAGATTGGTACGGCGAAAAGTTTCGAATTGTGTGGATTAGTGGAACTGGAAATAGAGGGACTTCGGAGTTACTCTTTACAAAAATTAACATGCAGATTACACACACAAAAATACAGCAAACCCCAAACGTTTCAGAGTGTAAGCACCCAATACTGCAAACACACACACACACACACACACACACACACACACACACGTGCGTGCACACACTCACGCATGTCGCAAGAGAAGCACGCAAATCTGCAAGTGCACACATGCGCACACACACACACACACACACACACACACACACACACACACACACAAACACACAGGCACTTACGAGACCCAAACGACGGTGCATTGTCGGACGGCGGGGTCTTGACAGCTGCAGTACGCGGTACAGCCGGTGGGCGAAACGACAAGTAGCCAATTTTACTTCGCTCGTCAACAAGCGCCGTCGCCGTCGCTGTCACCGCTGAAGTGCTAGTATCATGCTGCTGTACAGCACCGGGAACGAGGGGAGCTGCTGCTGCTACTGTGTGTGCTCTGGATCCTCTAGTATGGCCAGTACTATCTACACTACAGTCCTCGAGCAGTACGGATGACGGTGACGAAGATGATGATGACGATGATGACGGTGGAAAGTGACGGAGAGAAGTCTTGCGGAGCTCAGAGTAGGCCGTGGCTGAGCTGGAGCGGCGACGCTCGGCTTGATCAGCTTGGACAGAGGCAAGCGGACGTGCTGCTGCAGCAGCAGCGGCGGCCTCACAGGCCCGTTTCTCTGCCAACACGGCGGTGGTATCCACGTAGCCGGGCCGCGACGACTTGGAGATGTTGCTGCTGCACAGCTCGCCAATGTCAGCGATGCCTTCGGTGGATCCGAAGCGGGCCTTGCGCCGCAGCGGTTTGTTCGGAGAGCTGTGGCCGTGACTCTGGCCCAGAGTGGCGGAGCGAGCGCGGTCCATCGGAGTAAAGCCGGAGCGTGCGGCCATCACGGGCTTGGAGTTTGCGCGCCGCGTGGGCAGCGGACTGGCGCTGGCGTACTGCTGTTCATTGTCGCCAGTCTGCGAAGTGTCGTTGGCGTCGGAAGAGCCACCGGAATGCCTGGCAGACACTGTGACTTTGCCAGCAATGGCACCACTGCTGGCGCTTGCAGTTGATGCAGCAGTGCCATTACTGGTGGGCGAACGTAGCGATTCGTACACATGCTGCTGATGCTGTTGCTGCTGCTGCTCTCCCATCTCGCTGTATTCTCGTCGGTCTAAATCGCTGTATTCTCGTCGGTCTCCCATTTCGCTGTACTCGCGCTCCGAGGACGACTGGCGCGTGGTGCGTGTGGACGATGGCGCAGACTGTGCGGCGGTGTCCCTGGGAACCATGTACTGGCTGGGCGGTCCGGGCACGACGGCCACCGCATCACAGATTGGTGGAAGTGGAGAGGACTGGGAGCGTGAGCTGGGCGGGTCGGACGTTATGCTGGAGGGTGCCGATGAACTACCGTTGCTGCTGGGTCCGCTGGGTGCTGGTCCTGTTGATTGTGTGCTGCTGCTGCTGCCTGTAGCACCAGTGCCAGTGCATGTACTAGAGCCTTGGTTGGCGTCAGCCAGCTCGCTGTCCGACTCGTCTGACTGGGTAGTCCTACCCTGAACCGCCGCAGGCAGGGCTGGTGGTAATCGCGGTCGTTCTGTACGACACGAAGAAACAAGAGAGAGTGAGAGAGAGAGAGAGAGAGAGAGAGAGAGAGAGAGAGAGAGAGAGAGAGAGAGAGAGAGAGAGAGAGAGAGAGAGAATCAAAAGCAGGAATACTAAAAAGAATATCGTAACGGTATCGGCCTCGGATTTAGGGCCAATAAAGACTGTTAAAGAAAAGTTGAAAAAAAACCGTGACTTCACCTTCGATTTATACTTCTTCTTGTACATGAAGACTTGAAAAATCCTAGGCTGAGCTGAGGATTTTTTATCCCAGGTGTTTACTACTCATACTTCTGAAGTCAACACATTTTACTTGAACATCGAACGAAAACCAACACACAAAAGCGACCACACCTCCCAGGAACCATTAAAAAAAAAGCAAGAGGCGTACCACCGACAAAGACCATGGCATTACATGTACCGTAAAGTCTTGTATAAAAGCCGTACTTGAATAGAAGCCGCAATTTTGGGCCCATCAAATCACACAGAAGCCTGGTTTTAGTGTTGACATACAATAGAAATACCTGTCTTGTATAGAAGCCTGTCTCATATAGAAGCCTGCAAAATTTCACCAAGAAAGTCATAGAAGCCGCGGCTTTTATACAGGACTTTACGGTATCCTAAATAGAAATCACAGAGACCAGTAGGCTACACGTTATGCGCTAGAGTCGACCAACTAGACTAGATTTTGAACAGTCAGACGTGCAGGATTTAGGAGAAAGCTGACGAGGAGTCCCGAGACATTCCACGGCATGAACGTGAGCTTAACCCTTTAGGGCCCACAATTATTTCAAGGAATGCACTGCATACGCGAGCCCAGGTACTAATCTGGTGTAATTTTGGTGTCCTTTGGCCGATCTTGGTGATTTGGGCTTTCTGGAAAGCTCTTGGCCAGAGGAATACAGCAATACCCAGCAATCCATCATTGAATCCACAGAACCAGTGCCGCAGCGCAATTTGGCGCCCCAAAGCCAGCATTGAGAGCGCCCAACTCAAATTCTCTGCCATTTCAACAAAATGTCTCGCAGATCGCTCAGATTGTTTGACATGAGAGCTGAGAAACATGCCTTTGCGATGACATGAACTACCTGTGGCTGTGTGCCCCGCGAGTCAGGGAAAACCCAAAAAACGAGTTCAAAATGCTAGCGCCAGAGTCGACTCTGCCGAGCGAAATTAGTTCAAGTCTCATAACTCCGCTCTCCGACCTTGGATCGCCTTCGGGGTTTTTTTGGCGATAGCTGAGACAATTCTTATGTCGATAGACCTTTCGATTGTCCGATTTGGTCAAGGGACGGCCAAGTTACGCCAGGTTGCGCTTTGAAAAGTATGCACTGTACACTGGTACGGATATATCCGTACTATGGGCCTCAAAGGGTTAAGCACTGCTCGATAGCCAATGGCCTTCCAACTTGGAAGGTTCATGGATGGTAGCAAGAGTATATAAGCCCCCAAGAGTGTGCAACTCTGCATATGGGGTCTCCGACTCTGAAAACTCACATCACGTGTCTCAGATACATTTCGTACTACGTACAACTAGGGATAGTGTGCGCGCAATCCGAAAATCTGCCATGATTGATGCTGGTGAGTTGCGTACGCGCAGTGAGTTTCTGCCATGGAGTCCTGTTATTATTACTCCACTACTAGCTAAAAACGGGCTGGAAACGTACAACTGGGACACTACACCAAGTGATGTGAGTTTTTGCCGTTGGCGAACCCCATAGAAAGGGTATCAGGAGTTGCACACTCTTGGGGGGGGGGGGGGGGGGGTATATACTCTTGATAGTAGCAAGAGTACACGATCAAGAGTGTGCAACTCCTATCTCGAGCTGCAATGGGTTAACCCACGCCGGAATTTGGTTCTGTACTCTGGATATCCGGGGAGATTTCCACAGAGGGGAAAGTAAGCACCATCGAGCCGAATATGCACACAGACACACACGTGCACACATACATACAAATGCACATGTGTGCGTGTGTGCACATGCATACGAGCTCGTACATAGAAATACACACACCCACCCTAGACACACATATACACAGACACAGACAGACAGACATACACACAGCCATATACACAGACAGACACACACACACGCGTACACACATACACGCACACACGCGTACACACATACACAAAGTTTACCTGATGCTCGTCGAGACCAGTCAATACGAGCGCACACAACACCTGTGATGTTTTCGCCAGGAAACCGCCGGTCCAAGTGCAGGACAATATCACTATGACAACAACAGCAGCAGCAGCAGCAGCAACACCACACACCAGAGGTACAGGGTAAAGTATCCACCAACACTACCATGTTGCCATGGTTACTGATAGGCTAGGTACAGGGTGAAGAGGTTACGCGAATGACATCACTGCATACGCTTTGTTCATGTTTGGAGTGGCAAATGAGTGCTTGTGATGATGTGATGCCACTCTACATAAAACACCTCAAATAATGATGTCATAACCACAAGACATCATCGTGTATGTTTCGTATGGAGAGGAAAAAACCATTGCCTGCGACGTCACTCAATAGAAACATCTCAAAATTCAATATTGATGCACACGCACACTGTGTCAATCCAGGCGGTCAGGGACCAGGCACTGTCCGTAACACACTTTGAAATGTTCGTAGCTCTGAATCCCATACGTTTGGAGGGGGTTTCTACTAATTCAGGCCCAAAGGCCTGATTTTTACAAAAAAATTACAAGAAAGCAGTGATATTTCTACTAATTCAGGCCCAAAGGCCTGATTTTTACAAAAAAATTACAAGAAAGCAGTGATATTTCTACTAATTCAGGCCCAAAGGCCTGATTTTCACAAAAAAAATACAAGAAAGCAGTGATATTTCTACTAATTCAGGCCCAAAGGGTGCCTGGCAGACCGAAGTGCCACAACTGTGGTGACCGAAGTTTGGAGTCTACTCGCACAACTCCCTTTTAAAGACTGTAGACAGGTGGTCGGTCTACCATCTATGTGCGAGCACACATACACATACACACCCACACACACGCGCGCACACGCACAACGTGTAAATTGCCTAGACGACTTGAAAGGCTTGTGACAGAACACAGCAAGTTGTGCAATGAGACTAGGGCAGCAAACTATAACGTACGCGCCTTGCTCTTCACCGACAAAGCGGTTCATGGACAGTGAGGACTTGCCAAGGAATCCACCATCGCCTGGGTTCTTGCCTTTGATCATGAACTCCAACACATCACTGCTGATCACCTGGAACTGAAACACCTACAAATGGAACGAGAACAAAGGAAGAGATGACAGGGGAAGAACGAGATGGTGATGACCAATGGAAACTCATGAATAAAAGAGAGAGAGAGAGAGAGAGAGAGAGAGAGAGAGAGAGAGAGAGAGAGAGAGAGAGAGAGAGACGCACACACACACGCACGCGTGTGAATGCATACCTCTCCGGTCCAGACAGGGTTACAAGTAGATTTGCAGCGATGTGTCTTGTTCTGCTGTTCATGGTGGATGAGCCAGGGAAACGATGGACCAGGGACTACACGCAAGCGCAGTATCGGGTCTGGCCGGCTAAACTTCTTCTTCTTCAAATCTCTTGCATACAATTCTGTTAGAACAACAAAGGACGAATGTAGCAAAGCAGAGACAATGCCAAATGAAGCATTAGTGCGAGTCTACTTCATCTTATATCTTACATACAGCACAGCATATGTAGGCCCAGAAACTGCCATACACCTTCAGCACAATAAGCCCATTGTGCATTGCCAAATATGGAACGTGTGAGTAATGCATGTGAGTACACTGGGATCAGGGGTGCACTGTTCAACACCGCAGACGATCATGTCCAGGTGGCTGTGTGTGGTGTTATGTGAGTACACTGGGATCAGCAATGTACTGTTCAACACCCCAGACGACCATGCCCAGGTGGCTGTGTGGGGTGTTATGTGAGTACACTGGGATCAGCAATGTACTGTTCAACACCCCAGACGATCATGTCCAGGTGGCTGTGTGGGGTGTTATGTGAGCACGCTGGGATCAGCAATGCACTGTTCAACACCGCAGACGACCATGCCCAGGTGGCTGTGTGGGGTGTTATGTGAGTACACTGGGATCAGCAATGCACTGTTCAACACCGCAGACGACCATGCCCAGGTGGCAATGTGGGATGATCGTGGTATAAATTACGTCATTACGCAATGGGCTCATTTGCACACTCTCGTTGATATACTCTTGCTAGAGCCCACAAGAGAATCAGCTGACTCACGTGTGTAACGGGATTCATATTTAAAATCTAACGGTTCGCTTGAGACTGAGTTAGACTGAGTTTTCAGCATCCGTAGGAACACCACCATCCTCTATAGATCAAGGCGCAGATGCAGCTCCTAAAGCGGTGGGAGGTGAGTAGATCAGCTCACCAACAAAGTTGTCAAAGACAGAAAATCCCGTTCCCATTCATGATTCATATCACCTTCACAAAAGTAAATTACATGTACATAAATGATCATCTCCGTTCCCGAGGGACCTCACGACAGCTGGTAAGAAACGGAAAACCCAGCCTCTCTAGTCTATACAGGAGTAAGTTCTATGAAGTTATGTGAGTAGACTTACGGGACACCTGTATGGGTTCTATGAAGTTATGTGACTAGACTTACGGGACACCTGTATGGCTGATGTCTCCTCAGTAGACGAGTACAGCCCTGACCCACTGTTTTCGCTGCTCTATATATAGAGAGAAAAACCAAGACAGCACAAAATACACACATGTGCACACGCACACACACACGCACACACACACACACACACTCACGCACGCACGTATTCACACACGCGCATCCACCCACCCACCCACCCACACCCACACACACACGCATTCACACACGCACATCCACCCACACACGCGACCGTGCAAGCATGCACACACACGTGCGCGCACGCACACGCACACACATACACATCAAAATTTCTTAAACTGAAGCTAAAGATGAGGTCTGTTCGCCATTCTTGCTTCAAGGTGGCAAATTAAGTCAGCATACCAACCCGTCCTTCTCGGATGATCTGCTTCACTGTTGTGTCACTTATGAGACAAATACAATTGAAACAAATAAAGAATATGAAGGATGCATTGGCAAGTTCTTGTGACATCATCAACGTTTGCATGCATAATTTCGACACCACCGCTTACTAGACTGCAATAAAAGGTGTAGAAGTAGTTTCATGATCTCCAGTAAAAGGTAGCACTGAGTGGCCATCACCGAAAGACCTTGAACTACTGAAGAAACAAAGAATTCAAGCTTCAATTGGCAAACCTGTCGTAACATTTGGGCACATTCTGTACTACTTTGTAGTAGATTTGGTCCTTGAACCCGGTATGCGCAACGAATCGGGAGCTGGCTCACCGCCGATGTCTTGCGGCGCCGATTTTGCTTATGTGAACCAACCTATAATGGAAATATGTTCTGCTCTGCGTTCACGCAAAGAAATCACGTGGAATATGTACTGGAAATTTCCCGTTCCATGTGCGGCAGTTTTCTCACTAATTTGAAAGACACGCAGCAGTTCTGTATGCATTTTCTTTGCATGTATGACAAGGTAGAGAACCTCATCTTCGCAAAGACATCTGGACTCAAAGCACGCGAAGCCGTAGACACCTGTATGTCCTCTACGTGATTTCTCTGAGGAGAACCTCACTACAGGTCTACCCTCGTTAGTAGACAACCGGGGGGGGGGGGGGGGGGTTCAAAAATGTTGTCTTATAATGAATATCTAATATCCGGACTTGCATGTACGTGTTCCAGGCATCAGGGGATTTTGGATCGTTGTCCACTAATGAGGTTTGTCTTGTAGCCGATGTCGTACGAAAGAGGGTAGACCTGCATTATCATTGAACTACTTACAGCAGGCAAGGTGACAATGATTGGAGCACTCATGGCTTCCAGTCCACCATCGCTGTGGTAATAGCAGAACTGAACCTTTGTAGTTGAGCCTAGTAGAGACATATGCATTGATACCATAGCGCGCCACAGCACACACCAGAAGAGAAACAGCAACACACAACATGAATACACAGGGAGAGCGAGAGAGAGAGAGAGCGAGGGAGAGAGAGAGAGAGAGAGAGAGAGAGAGAGAGAGAGAGAGAGAGAGAGAGAGAGAGAGAGAGAGAGAGAGAGAGAGAGAGAGAGAGAGAGCGAGAGAGAGCGAGAGAGCGAGAGAGAGAGAGAGAGAGAGAGAGCGAGAGAGCGAGAGAGAGAGAGAGAGAGAGAGAGAGCGAGAGCGAGAGCGAGAGCGAGAGAGAGAGAGAGAGAGAGAGAGAGAGAGAGAGAGAGAGAGAGAGAGAGAGAGAGAGAGAGAGAGAGAGAGAGAGAGAGAGAGAGAGAGAGAGAGAGAGAGAAAGAGAGAGAGAGAGAGAGCGCTCAATACACCAAGGTACAGAGCCTTATTCAAATACAGTTGTGGCAAGTGAAATCCAACACTTGCCATAGGGGACAGCGCCACAAATGGACATCAATGATGTAATGCACTGCACCTAATTTATAATTTGTACTATAGAGCCGTATGCATCCCAAACAGATCGAAAGGTCACAGCGTAGATACACACAGTTCACAAACATGGTACACATAAGGAGCATTGGTATCCAATCCCCATTCATTTTTGCCATCACCTTTTGAACCTTGACTATGATGAGTACGAATTTTGTCATCAGACAGATAAAGTTGTATGTAACACATGTACTGTGCGTATGCAGGGCTGTAGGGGCTGCAGACTGCATGGTGCATTCCCTTATGCCAAGTGTCGGATTTCACTTGCCACAACTGTACTTCAGTAGAAAAAGGGTCAAACTACAGTTGCGCTCACTGAAATCCGACCCAACGTGCAAAGCTGGCGCCCTCGACTTCCACAGCCCTTGACGCCCTCGAAATGGAATGAATGCGGCTGGACGTACACATGTACACCCACAATGATGTAATCGGAACTGGTCCAGGGCGCCAGCTTTGCACTTTGGGTGGGATTTCAGTGAGCGCAACTGTAGAAACTCAGAGTTTCACACACACACACACACACACACACCTTTGACCTTTGACGCCCATCGCCGGAGGCGATGATAGCAATGCTACGGCAGAAGCCATAGCAACTTGTGCTGGGATTACACCATTCAACAGCTTGCAAGGCTGAAGAATTGACCGTCACTATTCAGCCTGGTCTACACCATACAGCTATTTGGAGTGACATTTTCTGGCCAGTGAATCCCTTTTTTGGTCTTTTTCTTTTTTTTTCTTTTTTTTTTTTTTCCCGCACACACATCACACCACATACTCCGGCATGCACTGGCTGTTGGTAACCACCCAGGAGAATGAAAGAAAAGTCAGGAAGAGTCTGAGAAAGAGAAGAAAGACGTGTGTGACCATAATCGTCGGGAATCGAACCCGCAATCTATCGATTGGAAATCGCTGCACATACCACTGCACCATATGGGACACACACACACACACACACACACACACACACACACACACACACACACACACACACACACACACACACACACACACCATCATAGGACCAGGTAGAGGGGACATGTTTGTTATGGTATCGTAACTTTATATTCTTTAGTGCCAACAAATATCAACAGCCATGTCCTCATACGAAGTACAGTTGAACATCGATTATCCGCACATCGACTATCCGACCATTCGATTATCCGTAACAGTTTTTTTGGGCGCACGTGCCGTAGAGTACGCACTGTGCATGTAGTGAGCCATTCAGAAAATACGAAAATTTTGAAAAGTAAAAAGGTCGTACATGTACATGTTTCTTATCCGGAACATTTGCCTTATCTGAACACCGCCTGACAGTTGTCTGCCCAGAGGTGGTCGGATAATCGATGTTCAACTGTAATCACAACTGTCAGTACTACCGTAAAGGGTAACAACATACAGTACTACATACACTATAGACCTTATTCGATAACGTGATTTTTGGACTCGCCTCCAGGGATTTGTCGTAAGCTGGGGCACGCGTGCATGAAACGAGTGGCAAGAAAGGCTCAGTTCGTACAAGGGAGTAGTAAAATACCGGTATTTATCTACTCCTATGTTCCCACGCCGAGTCCACTGTGCACTGACTGAGTGCAGGTCTCTTGCCACTCCCTGATTCCCGGGACCCCGGTTCACGTGATTGTGACGTTTATCGAATAAGGTCTATAGAAGGACATAAGGAGGTAAAACAACAAGGATGACAGCTCTTCAGGGTTAGTTGTCGGTTAGCCGAAAGAGAGCGAGTTGTTTTGTGTGTGGTTTCACATGGCGCCAGAAGTGGGATTCGAACCCACGTCCACAGAATTGGACTGCTACAGATCAATTTTAGGCCGGTACGTGGCTATCCACGTAACCATTGTCCAACGCAGTGCCGTCACAAATGCTGTGAGGGGGTGGGCTAACATCGGCTGTGTTTACATGAAGCGTTTCAACCCGGGTTGAGTTCGACCCGGGTCAGATTTCAACCCGCCATGTGCACAAAATGAATGGCGCGTTTACATGACGCATTGCGCTTGACAAGAAAATCGTACAAACGTACTTCTGTGCGTATCTCGCGCCAGGTTTGAACGGCACTGCACATGCAAATTTCGCGCGAACAGATTCACGTCACTATACGGAACTGTAGATTCGTGTAGAAGTGGACTTTTGGTGGCATGTCAGTATTTGACCCGGGTCAACTGTCTTCATGTAAACGCTCAACTCTTTTGTCTATCGTACAGACTTTCAACCCGGGCTGAACTCGACCCGGGTTGAAATTTCTCATGTAAACACAGCCATAGAGCTTCTTGAGTACATTTCCTGTGCTGTCCTGTATCATATGCAAGCCTGATCAGCATATCGGACAAATTTATGAAACACCTGATTCGAATGCAAGGCTGGCCTTTCACGTCACCTGGGACGAGAAGTAACGCAGGGGAAACCATGCCCTACATATGTTATTATAAGTGGACAGGCAGTGGTGATGGTGTGTGGTGTGTGTGTGTGGGGGGGGGGGGGGGGGGAGGGGGAGGGCATACAGCACGAATAGAACAAAACACACCCTAACCATATCACCTATGCCCCATTCTAACAGCTGAGAAACAATCCTTTGGTAGCTCAGGCTGAGCTACTGCAGTAACAGCATCAGTAACACAGCATCAGTAACACAGCATCAGTAGCAGCATCAGCGATAACAGCAGTTGCTCAGCTTGAACAAAAATAGCGCGTCCAGCAGTGATGGCAGCCGCAACAGCAGCAATACACAACAAAATGGGCATCAACATCAACACGCACACACCAACACACATGTATGCGAGTACACACACACACACACACGCACACACACTGCAGATTACCTGGCTGGCTGATAAAGATGTGTGGCTCCAGAAGCCATGATATGGTTCCAATCTGTCCTCCCGTTAGACCACGATTACGATACTCCAGATAGTTATTAGGGTTTGTATTATCTACAACATACCCACATACACAAGACACGCACGCACGCATATGGACACACACACACGCACACACACACACGCACACACACACACACACAATGGCATACGGCATGCATTAAAAAAAACCTTCCTGCAAGCTTGGCATATCTCAACTCATCAACACTGATCTCTCACAAAAGATGAATAATCCCCGGTGAGAAAGTTCACAGTTCACGTTGAGGCGCGGCTAGACCTAATTTTCCGTATCCGTAGGAACGTCATCACCCTCTGTGGATCAAGGCTCAGATGCAGCTCCTAACGCGGTGGGAGGTGAGTAGATCAGACCCACCACCAACATTGTCAAAGACCGAAAATCCCTATCGCTGCACCCCTGAAGACTTGCCTGCAGCCACCCACTATACGCACACATCCTCACCACACTCTAAACGATCTCTGGGTGACATCAACGCATTAAAATGAAACACTACCCGCAACCCCACACGCATCTTCACGAATAAAGCTACTAGAGGCTAAAGCTGATGTATCATGTTCTACTTGAAGTACTTGAAGTCTGATGATTGGTTCAGCCATGAAACTCTGAGTCACAACGGAATTTACCAAGGTTTTCATTGTGTGCCTTTGTGTTCTACTTGAAGTATATGTAGATGTTTGAGATACAAACACCTGGCCGAAAGTGTGAAGAGAAGTCCGTGAGAAGCTGTCAGCACTGAGACAGAAATAAAAGTTTTATAAAACCCATCACAACAAACTTGCCAGCACCGGCGGTGAAACTGAGGTCAAAACCAAGTGCACGCACGGCGCACCAAGATTGCCGCGCTTTACTTCTGCTAAAGTGACGCAGAACAAAAATTCTTTGGTGGGTGAGTTTTCCTCACAAGCCAAGAATTCACGCTGTAATAGAGTGGTTTCACAGTGTTGCCGGGGGTAACTAAATCGGTGTAGAAAGTGTACATGGATGTGTATATGGACAGTGGAACCAACATGGCGGACGTCATGTGACCCATACATCTAGGAGTTGAGTGGAGTTGGAACCAAAATGGCTGCTCGGTGTGGTCATGTGATAGATGTGCAAACAGCTCTATAGCGCGCCTAACATCTGGAAGCACATGTACTCCCATACACGGATGTGCAAACGGGCACTAGTTTCCTATGACGTTTGGTGATGGGCACCAGAGGTGAAACGAATATCAGAACGTCCCACTAGGTTCGCTCCAAAAGTACACAACTGATTGGAAAAATACACAATATTTTCCGGAATTTTTAGGGTTTTTTCTCAAACTGAAAATACGAAAAGCGGAAAAAGAATAATTGAACACAAAAAAAACAACGTGCATGTGACTATAGTCGTATAGAAGTTGCGGCACATGAGGACATGACTGTATGACTGTATTTCCCTCAGATCAACTTAATGACAAATGAAGCAATGATGTGCACCCTTGTCAAAGACATTTCCTGTCAAGTTCAGGTGATATGGGGAGTCAGCTCATTGAACGTGGACATGAAACCCTCATAGCATGATAGTCTCTTTGCCACTTGTACAATTCCGTGTTGACTGTCAACACACTTCCGTGTTCCAAGCCACCCAAGATATGCACGTGTGTGTGCGCGTGCACACACACACACACACACGCGCACACACACGCACACACACACACACATACAGATAAAGGGAACTAATTACTTGAATCGAGTCTCCCTACGCAAATGCACGAGTGTCCAGAAACACATGAGGGCCATAGAACGCACCATGTGATGTCCTTGAAAGCACACTGCCAGACACTGACACGGCATGAGTACCGTGTGACTACGAGTATAGGAACAAACACTCCCGCAGTGCAGCACATGTAGACAATAGCACACAAATTGTGACAAATAATTACCTGCCAGATATAAGCCTATCCAGTCGTGCGGATCGCAAGTGGACTTGATGTCGAACTTGACTTGCACCGTCTCCCCGACGTGCGCCGTTCTCTTGTCCACGGCCAGAAGGGACGACTCAGACCCATTGCTGACTGTTCCACGACGTGGTCGCACTAGTTGGGATACTGATTCTAACCGACGACGACTAACATCAGACAAAACATCACGCAAAGCAGGAGCAGCTGCCATTCTTTCTCCACAAGGCCATTCCAATTTTCACAAATGAAATAATCGGCAATGGTGTCGAACACACGATTCGCACAGCAAGGATTTTTCGCGCTGCAAGCTGTGTTTGAAGACAGCGCCAGAATCAAAAATAGGAAACAGCTCGTACAAGGAAGAGCTCGATCCAGAACACAAAATTCCCTGATCCCAAACGAAGTCCCAAATTTGCACCAAAAACATCGCCCCTTGTCTTGACGAGTACCGCTGGTGCCAGTGCCAGCGTGCTGCACGCTTTTGATGATCCAGGTCGACCTGTGAACCATATCTATGCGGACTACGCGTATACGGTAGACCGATATCCGGCCTGCATGCTGCATGCAGCTGCAAAGCAGAGTGTACGAGCTGACTCGTAGATGTGCATGGCAGTGAAAATTTGACCTGCTGGCTTGCGTTTCGATGAGAAAGAGCTCAAAACCTGGCAAAACAGGAACCAGGGAGTCGTCAAAACCGACCACTGCCTGACAGAAACCGTCCAGCACAGTAGCTAGCTGTAGCAGTACAGTTTCACCGTGCCTGAACACAAAAACACTTCACGTCTTTCACACAATCTGCCGAAACTCCGCCCGTTTTCTTACCTACAGTCCATTCAGAAAAAAATGAACTTCTAGCTTTTGGCCATAAATGGGTCAAACGTTGAGTTTTTTTAGAATTTTTTTCTGCAATCCTCTATGGAATCCTCTTCCAATTATGTTTCTGAAGTTTTTTTCTCCAAAAAGCAAGCCATAACAAGAATAGGATTTCGGCCAGGTTTTGCCCCCAAAGCATTGAATTGGGAAAAACCATAAAAATCCAGGCCGTTTGACCCCGTCTGCAACAGTGCATTGTGCGGTTCGAACCCCAGTTCAGGTACCCTTTTTGGACCCTTTTTCAAATTTCAAATTTCGCAGCACTGCACTGTGTACGATGAAATCACGAAAAATCGCCAAATACGGGAGCTCGCCAGAGCCAGAGCCCATCTTTTTATGAATGGACTGTAGAACAGAATACGGTCTTACATCAGCTACATGTGCCAGTGAGTTTGAGATGGTTGAACCAGGGAGTACTCCGAGTAGTACAATATTGTACTACTCCCTGGGTTGAACTAACTAATTACTTGAAGTCATATGAAGATCAAGAGGCTCTGTTTGTAAACAAAAGGCGTGAAAGGGGTCAGTCCACAGCCTAGGTTCATCGTCCGATCATCAGCTTCGATAACGTTTTATTTGGATATGGCCAGCTCCACTTATGCGAGTGTGTTGGTCTCTTCAATTACTATAATAGTGATTACTCGGTCGACTTGACGCCTTCAACTAACTATTAGTATTACTTGTGTCGCCCGTTACACTGGCGGATGATCACATGCCACCTTGTATTACTCACTGCAGTATGGGCTGTCTGCTTTGCCGGCCTGTCCAAGCCACAGCTACAGTAGAGACGTAAGTCGCAGTAAGGTTGTGATTTGACAATTGCAAATAATTTTTAATTGTGGCAATACAAGGGAAACACTCAGAAATGTTTCCGGAAACGGAAACATTCCACAGTGCAGCACACAGTATGCATCGTGCATAAGCCAACTACTACAAGTACAAGTATGTAATTGTTATAACTAGGGCTGAGTCGGGTAGCATTTTCTTCGGGTATCGGGCTCGGGTAGTTTTCCACGAGTAGCACGGGTACCCTATCGGGTAATGTTTCCATGGTAACACCACAATGCACTCCTTCCCTTACACACTGGGTAGACATGCGGAGTATTACTACTACATGAATTTGTCCACGTGCAGCTGTACATGATGTCAAATTTAATAAATAATAATAATAATGTCATCTGCGACTTCGGGTTTTCGGGTGCTATTCTGTACCAGTCTACCCGAGGTCCTCACGGGTACCCGACTATCCGTGCACACCACTAGCAAGAGTACATGAAAACCAGAGTGTGCAGCTCAGATGGGTTGCTGTCACGGCGGAATTCCGTGATTACATCATTTTAAGTGATGTAGTGCGTACAAGCAGGATTCAAGCAGGTCTCTTTCTGCACAACTGCAGCTCAGTTGTACGCACTACGCCATTTCCCGCCTCAGATCTGCACCAAATATGATGTAATCGCGGAATTCCGCCGTGACAGACACCCATAGCAGAAAAAGCCCCAAGCTGCACACTCTGGTTTTCATGTACTCTTGCCACTAGTTATAACCAGGGTACTTCAAGTCCAATAAACCTGTCAAGGCGACCAGTCTGATAAGGTGACCGCCTGTCCTAGAGGACCACTAGCACTACCGTACGACTACACTGCAGGAGCAAGGACGGGTCTTCACTCCCAGTCTAGTCATTCCCTGTCATTCCCAGTCGAATGACCCTGGATACATGCCAACCGTCCAGGGTTTCCCGGGACAGTCCGGGGAATAGGGCGTTTGTCCTGGGGTCCAGGGATGGCCTGCAAAAGTCTAGGGATTGAGATGGAACTTTTGAAATCGAAGTTCTCCTTTTTATGACGCTTTTTCAGTGTTTCCTCGAATGTATATCCGCTGTAGGTGCACACAGGACGTACTAGCCAAAAACAAACATGTAAAAGCCCAACGGATCGCCGGTATACTGTAAGACATGTTATTATAATGAGTTGCAAATCTAACGATTGTCCAAAATTCATAGGTTACCGAGAAGATATGTTAACGATCCTGTAGTATTCCGGCATATCCATACACAACTTATATGAAGCAGTACGGCCTCAACGGATCTTATTATAACGAAGAAATGTCATCCGTTAAAATGTTAGATTTACTTCCTCGTTATATATACATGTGTTACAGTAACGGTATTCAACAGAAAGTTTACTTCTGCAGTTACAGCTCAATGACATCCCTCTTTGAGCAGCAGTCATGAAAAATACATCTGCTAATGATGGATGCGCTAACAAGATCGGTGTCCAGGGAAAACGGACAAAATCAAGCCCCGTCGTCCAGGGAACCCAAGCCTCCAGGTTGGCATACATGACCACCACTTTCGGATGGTTTTAGTTTGAGTGGTCGCCGCTTAGACGGGTTTTCCTGTACGTTTCGCAAATCCATTTTGGCGCATGGCGCTTGCACATGCACTCTTCAGACAGTGGCTTTCTTCATGGACTCTTGTTTACAGAGAATGCACTGCATGTACCATTGAAATTAATTAATTTTGTAGCCAGGAGTAGTAATTTAATAAAATACCAGTATTTTACGACTCCCTAATTTGAAGACTATAGCATGGAATGTGTAACAGGCACACAGCAACAGCAGCAGCAGCATCAACGGCATAGCCCAGTCTCGTACGGCTACCCATACACTGTCCAAGAAAACTGATCGGAGACACTAACTTTCACTTCAGAAAAGCTAGCACATGTGACTCCCTATGGGCAAATCACCACATTTTCACTACGGTATGTATGGAGTGCGGAGAAGAAGTATGGATTAATATTTTATTGACCGAGTAGGGGAGCAATAGAGTGGTTTCACATCCTGATCATGTGACTCATGTTGTGTAGAAACTAGAAAGTGATCGTGTCATGTGTACTGTGGAACCAACATGGTTGCCGCCCCATATGGTCATGTGATAGATGTGAAACCACTCTATACCGGCGGATATCGATGCCGGTATTTGACTGATACCGGTATGACCTGTATATTGCCCGTTTGTGACGTCACAAGCGGGCAATATACAGATCCAGTGGCCCGCTGAGCTGGGATCAGCAGACCAAATGCCAAAAAAGTATGGCCCGATGAGTACGGCCTGTGATTGGCCTAGCATTCCTAGGAAACAGTCACGTGACATGTGATAACTGTCTTTATTGAGAAGCATGCACGTGGCCCATTTGGGTTTGCTCTATTAGAAGAGGTTTGACTGTAGCTATGTTGCAGTGCTACGAAATACACACACACACACACACCATACCACGTCACACTTATGCACATGCACGTGGCCTGCGCCACGCTCCCAATCACCATGGCTACATCAATAATGCAATATGGCTGCACATGTAGTGCAGATAGCAGACAACAGTACACGAGTAGTACGGTCGATGGTGAAACATTGCAGCCAGCCACTCAGCTGGCGTTAGTGCCCGTCACAAACTCAATGCGAACCTGCGGTGGATATTGTGAAGATCTTTTATTGCTGTGTTAAAAGAGCCAACCTAAATATAAAGCCTAGTTTAATAGGTGTGTGATAGTGACATAACCTGTGACAACTGAACATGTGGCAGGATAGTGCATGGTGGTAGTCGGGTCTGCTATACCTGCTACGGGCGTGCAACGAGAGTAGAGTATCGGAGCAGAGCAGAGGCTGAGAGTAACGAAATAAGTATAATTATAAAGTAAGTGGAAAACAGCGCGCCAGCTTCCTATGGGGCAGGGCTAAAAGGAGTGGTGTAAGAACAAAACAATTCTACCAGGCTATCACCTCGTCCTAACTATTCTACCAGGCTATTATGATCGTCTCACACTAACAATCAGCTGGCTATACCATTTCACACTAAAAACCAGCTGGCTATATCATCTCACACAAATAATCAGCTGGCTACCATCTTACGCTAACTACAAGTAGAAACAATGTCATGAGTGTGCTCACCTCTCTGACCAAACAGTATCGAATAATGCCTCCATGGCACATGAACATAGAGATAGCAGGCATGCATGCAACATGGCTACATGGCGCAGGTGCCTACTGGAGCAAGCAGGCAGCACAGCTAGATGGGACAGGGTGAGTAGCTACGGGGACAATCCTCTAACTACTAGCTACAGGACCTTACGTTACGCATGGGTGACTGAGTGCTGCTGTATACATATAGCTGCATGCACCGCAGCCAGAGCACACATTAGTTCACCAGAGATGGCCGGCAGCTGCGGCGGTGTGATGGCACTGGCAGCAGCAGCACAGACCCTAGAGTTAGGCGAGTACTGAGTAGTCACCATGTGTGTGCACTGGCTACAGTGGAGCTTGCCAGAACTGAGCTGAGTGGGCATTTCAAATAGACGCGATCAGCCAGAGAAACAATCAGGACAAAACAACGCCAGCGAAAACTTGCAGCACTCACACACACACACACACACACACAAGACAAGACATGGTGACGGTGGGTAAACGGAAATATGGGGGAAAAAACGTAAGAGGCATGGAGAAGCAAATGAGCAATGGCATTGTTTGCAGTGCTGTTACCATCCTTGGTAGACTGTGTGTTGTAAAAAT